TATACACACACAGACATACATACACAAAAATACTGTAAAACAATAATATTGTGAAATACTTCATTTTAAAATAACTATTTTCTATGTGAATATATTTTAAAAGGCAATATATTCCAGTGAATTCACTCTAATATGCTGATTTGATGCATTTTTATAACTTATTTTTGTGGAATATATGTATTTTTTTATGATACATTTTAAGGATTCTTTGATGAATAGAAAATGTGATGTATTTGATCATCTGAAATCTGATGTAATAATTTAAAACCTTTACAGTTACCTTAGATGAATCTGATGCATCCTTGCTAAATAAAAGTATTATTTTCTTTAAAATGACCCCAAATTTTGAAGAGTAGTGTGCATTTCATAACTAATAAAATATGCCACAGTGCAATTCATTACCATTTTAATACATTATTTGACACAATATCTTAAATCTAGGTACTGCAGGTTTTTCAGAAATTACTATTAATGTAAGCACACAGAACACCAAGTAACATCCTGCTCGAACGTCTCAAATGTATCCTAAAATGAATATAACATTTTTAAATAATTCATTACCTTTAATTCAGTCAGAAGATTTTATATTCATCATCTGAGTATGACCACTGCACTAGTCTCCTGAACCACAGTGTAGAAGAACACAACCAAATTAGGACACTATTTCTGAAAGGGATAAAGAGAGGTAGAGGTGCACTGCTGTCCAGCTATGGCAGTAACATCACCCGCCTCCAGCGGGAGAGCGGACAGGCTCACACAGACAGTTAATACACAGGAGAATGAGACAGCGGTGACACCGTGATGAATGAAGAACCTGTGGAAAGTAGCAGGCCGAACAGCTGGGAATGTGAGGTTAATGAGGGGCTCAGATATACCAAAATCCCAGCTTTCATAAACACAGGGCGTTATAGAATTAAACGGCACGGCTGGGCCGCAGAGGTCACAGTCCAGTCAGAGCCAACAGCAGCGCTGCCATGGGCACCCGTCACCACTCATTAGACAGTTTCGCTAACCCACAAACAGTTGCTTGTCGCAGTTTGAAGTATGATAAGGTATGGTGTAATATTTTTGTCTCAACTTCTCCACAAGATAGTCTCTGCGGTCTGGCGTGCAGCCAGCAGAAAGAGCTCTGACAAAGTGGATGAGAGTGGCTGCTAAAGACGAAACATTATCAAACCATAGGGAAGATGCTGGAGGAGACCTGATAGGTCCATTTCACTGACAGAAACGGGCCTTTCCCATGAAACTCCCAGTCATGAGCGTACAAAGAAATAGGAAGGGAAAAAAAGACAAATTGCAACAAGTCTGGACGGTTAACCTGATAATATCTGTGCTAACAAAAATTGTTTTTCTGTTTCAAGCAGCGCATATTTATTTCACCACTCATATTAATAGGTTACAATATTCACACTATGTGTGTGAGAGAACCGTAGGTGTAAAAAGAGTTTTGACACTGAGTCTTTTTTTGTCGTTGTTGTTGTGTGTAGACTGCTGAAGGCAGTACAAAACAGAAAATGTATTATGAACCTATGATCATTTGGAATATGTTTTATTAACGACATACAATAATGCATTTTAATAGTCAATGCCACACTCTCAACAGCCATTTTATAATCAGCCCTGGGATGTCCTATATATCCATATTAACTGTGGGAATCATAATGCTTCACATCCTCTCTACACACTTATAATACATTATTTTAAGTTCCTTAAAATGTATATTGGTGGTGGAAAAGAGTGTTATTTTAGTATTATTTATTTACTTCTATAATATTTATTAATATTTTGAATGAACGTTTATGTGCTTTTGTCATTTTCATTATTTTAACATTTATATTAAGCTTTGATTCTCTTTTACTTTAGTTTCAGTTTTAGTAATTTTAGTACTTCAACTTTACTTACTTCAAACTTACATTATTTCAGTTAGTTGCCAGGTCAAGTTTTTCTCAGGTTTATATAACATGCATATTTCAATTCAGTTTTATTTAAATTAATCAAAACAAATTTTAAAAGTTTTTGTTTTAGTTAACAATAACAACACTGGACCAGTTGCAGGACTTAAAATATACACTTTACATAATACATTCATATACATTTTACCCTAAAAAAAGAAAACATTCATAATGTTTGCAGTGGTTCTATGAATATCTATGTACACCAGTAGGGCCCATTTTCATGATCTCATCTAGGGCCCCACAAATCCATGGTGCAGCCCTGTTTTACATTTATGGCCACAGAAGGAACAGTGGAACAAATCAGAAAGAGAAGAAACAACCAAACATCTCACACACACTAGAACATACAACTTGAGCAGAAATGTCATCTGATTGATGAATGCTCTGAGGGCATTTAGGTATGGATCTTCTTCTGGGCCTGTGCACGTATTGCTGTCTGGGTAAAGATTTTTTTTTTTCCTATTGATTTCACAGAAGCAGAATCAGCGTGGCATGTCCAGGCCTAAAGAGCAGACAGAAGCGTTTAACTAGCATCTCTGTTGGTGCTCACTCCATTGCTGTTAGGTCTATCTGATGCATTTACATGACATGCTTTTAGAGTTTTCTTGTTTTCTCACATCAAACACAACTCGATGACTCTTTAAGTGCGAGCAACCACAAAGCATCTTTATGATGTTCACAACTGTAATTACTTACAGCTGCATTTACCACTTATGCATTACTAAAGTGTTTGACTGAACTGAGATTTAGCATAATATCCTTAATGGTCCAAAATAAATGTAATGGATGGTGAAACAGTACATGCATTTGACATGCACTGCTGAAATTAAGCAATGCTAAATGGGCATGAATAAAGCAATCAATCTCAAAACACAAATATCCCATTATTTAGGCATGTGGGCTTCTTTGCAGTTGTGCCAAATCAGAAAATCTTTACAAAACAATTTTTTTTCTTTAAAAATGTTTAAATGAAGTATAAATAAATGTCAACGATGCAGACATAACATATAATTCCACAAAAAAACGATATATATATATATATATATATAAAAAATGTATTGTTTTTTTTCTCTCAAAATGGTATCATGCAACATCCAATTATATATTAAGTTTTTTTCTTTTATTACTCATACATGAGTGGAAGAACACAGAATAGGGAATACATTTAGCCTTTTACCATTCCTTAAGTGACTCTGAGCTGAAAAAACATGAGCAATCTTTTCCTCTAACCCCCCCCCCTTCTCTCTCTCTCTCTCTTCTACTGGGCCCTACATGCTCAAAAAATCCTGGGAGCATTTACAGAGAGGTTGGATGTCATGGCAACAGGAGGGTTTGGTTCGAAATTGCAATGCAATGACATGGAAAAGCCAGGCAAGACCTGCTCTGATTCCCAGCTAAAGGGAAACCTACTGCCCTTCAATCCGGTCTGAATGTCTATTAATGTAACTGAACATCAACAACAGAGCGCTAACAAAGTGGCAGACCAAAGGTGAAAAAGAGCCAGACCAAAGAGAAAAAGATTACATATATTTCTAAAATAAACATATTTAAAGCCATATTTCAATATTTCTGAATTCAGAAAAAAGTTTGAAAAACAATATTTAATGCAGTGATAATGTATAAGAAATATTATATGAAATAAATGCAGTTTACATTATGCAGCTAATTATATTCACATTAAATTTTAGTTACATTTAATAATATTATTACTATTATTATTATTGTAGGAATGACAGTACAGTAGTTGATCATGACGTGGAAATAGGAAGAGGAAATACACTAAGGTACTGAAAACTACAGCACTATATTATATATTTAAAATAAAACAACATGCTCCCTTTCTATTTGTTTTGAAAACTTCCACACTAACACAGACCCTCCGAGTGGCTCTCGTAATGTGTGCTTCCAGTGAGGACACCAGGATAAATCACTGTGCTTCTCCAACAGACAGAAACATATTCATCTACCCAAGAGCAGCATAGTAAAGATGAGAGACAAGCCAAAGACAACAGTATGATCAGTGAGTGTTTATTCAGGCTCTCCTTTATTGTGGACTCCATTAAGATACTCCATGGCTGACTGCCGTTTATGACCTTGGATAGTGTGTCATGAGCAATCTTTCCTCTTTTTCGTTATGTTTCTACCCAGCGTGTCTTTTTCTAATGATTGAGAGCATATCTAATTACTTGCAAACATGCACACAAACATTCAGCTTCAACAAATATTCAGCCCTCTCTGAAGACTGACAACATGAATTGCGTCCTCAATCAGCTACAGCGAAAAAGCTCTCTCTCACACACACACACACACACACACACACACACACAGCTCACGCTGTTCCTGCTCCACAGATCCTGTTGAGACATGAAGACCCTGTGCCTTTGGTGATTACATGATGAGCTGTAATTAAACAAGCCGATTGGAGATTTACCAGCATCTCCCAATTACATGACAGCACAGGTTTGTGAAGAGAATGAATCATCCCACACATCAAAAATGATTACATTCCCTCACAACAGAGATGTGGGCTGCTCCAGGACATCACGGAAAATGACAAACAAACCTGGTCAAATGGTCGAGCTGTATTTCCCCCCATATCACCAGAATCCATCAACAAGCCATCTATCCATCAAACCAGGGCATTGATCTCTCAACTGAGTGTGAAATATAAACACTATCTGCACTCAGCTCTGACATGACAGACAAACTATGACAATATAGACCATAACAAAAGCCCTAAGCAGGCAACATCCTGCACGTGAACTCTACAAAGCACAGGAAACACCCAAAATCAACTCCTGTGAGACGATGAGCGATAGAAAACCAAAATAAAGACAAAGCACACCAATTCATTCAAAAAAGCTAGATAAATGAGCACGTTTTGGTGTGACAGTATCTGATATGCAGGCTTTCAGTGTTGACATAAGAGAACAGACACCGTGAGAGGAAAACAAGGGTCACTGGCTCGGCAGACAGCACTTATCGGTACGTGAGCGAGCAGAGAACAGATGTGCGTGAGACAAAGAAGGACAAATCGTACCCTACCTCTGCTTGTTCAGGTGATGGTGTCCGTCAAATCCTGCCTGATCTGAGTGCTGTCACGTTCACAGCATGGATGGGCTCACAAACAAAATGCTACAGGCAGTGCTGGAACCAGCTCAGTCAGCGGCAGAAACATCCCTCCCCTCCTGAATGAATTAATTAAACCTTCTCTCGCTCACGCTCTCTCTCCCTCTCGTGATTATCCTTCAGTGTTGTAGGCAACGCTCTCCTTTGGCTGTAGCGGATGAAAATGTCCCTGCACTTTCTTTTCTGACAGCCTGTTTACAGAGCGCTCTGCTTCTCTCTCGCTCTCTCTCGCTCTGCACAAACTCTCTCTCATCAACAGTGCAATATCAAAGTGCTTCTCATAGGGCCAGCCCTCCCCCTTGTGAACAACCCTAACCACCACAGTTAGTGTCCCTCTCCAGTCTTTTACAAAATGTGCTATAATGTAGAATAAAATCTAAAAATCATTTATGTGTGTAATGCCTTTTTGGGATTAAAAGAAAACTGAATAATATATAAAGAATTCTGAATAATGTGACATTTGTATTGTTAACATCAACTTTAAAACATATGGCTTTAAATAGTCTTTGAGTCATTAACTGTGACTTAATACATTTTCTATATTTTTCTACTTTTATTTGATATATATATATATATTCACAGCTTCTACTATATTCATTGTTTCAAGAAACATTAAATCAGCACAACTGTTGTGAACATTGATAATACAACCCTCTACAATGCGAGTAAACCACTCGCATATGTGACTAAATCTTCACTCTGTGCGACTAAATGATGTCTAACATTAGCCATTGGCTAATATATTCTTAGATTTTACTCGCCAGTGTGTGAGTTGGCGGTTAAGTATAAGTTTAGTACAGATATATTTTCACTCGCCGAACACTCAGCGCTTCAGAGTTTTACTCTCTGTCAAGAGATCTGTGCTATTTTTCAATTAATCTCAGTGGATGCGTAGTGAAGGCCTACCTGTATTTAACGTACCGTAAACTCTAGTGTGAAGGCGCACAACTCGCCGTCCCTTTGCTGAGAGCACCGTTTCTCACACACAAAAAAAAGAGAGGGAGAAGAAATAATATGCCGCGCACAGGACACACACAAAAATGAGTTGTGAAAGCCATTTAATTGAATTCTCGTAAATGCAAAATAATTGCAATGCTCGGGCAAACCGCTAAAAAGTCGGTGTCACTATAGAGTTAGGGTGCTTTCACACCTGGCTCGTTGTTTCGGAACATGGTGCGTTTCCCCCCTTAGCTCGGTTCGTTTGGGCATATGTGAACACGGCAATCGCGCCCGGATCCGCGCCAAAACAATCGGTCCGAGATCACCTGAACGATGTTGCATGTCATCCCGGACTACACAGACTGACGGCAGAAGGTCTGGGAACCTTGGCCGCTTTGAATGGATAAGGACCGCCTTTGAATGGATAATCACCTTTCATTTTGTGCCGCGTCATGTTTAGGGGCATGGAAATGTCCCCACAAAAACAGACCATGTGTAAAAACTCTTGGAGGTATTTTAAAGATTCTATGTCGTGAACTTTAAATATTTCACATACTTTTGAAAATCCAGCATTTAGTTGATCC